TGTATAGTGCTGCAAATAATTAAATATCTTTAATTAGGTCTACTTTGCTTGTCAAAGAGAAATATTTGGATCTGCTATGATAGGAACAAAGATGAAAGTCATGTTCTTGTTCATTTGCCCCCAAAGGCTAGTTCTGAATGCTGAATTAATAAATTGAGATTGTGGTGGTCCCATACAGGAAAAGCCACACCAATGAACACAGTAATTTGAAAAGGTTGTAGATTGAGAACACTGATAAAAAAGCCACCAGATGGCGTCGTTTATTGAAGGCCTCGAATGACTTGAAATATCTTGCGTAACAACAGGTGACAGATAATACAGAGATGGCGTTGAGATCATTTATTCTCAAAAATATAAAATGTTCATAGAATGTATTTCTCTTCTGTGTGTAACTGAATTGAAATGTTCTGTGAGTTTAGCTTTATTTGTCATAAGGTCATCTGAAAGTTTTTAGCATCCTGCATGAATCCTTGTGTGTATACAGTACAATAAACAAAAGTAAAAGAGCTTTAACAAAATGCCTATGTGTGCAAATAGAACAGAATATCAACAAATCCCAAATGCTGAAGAGTTTTTATCTTGTGTGGTATAAAATATTCAAACCTTTAAATGAAAATTGGGCTATATGTGTAAATACGTTTACAATTTAGATAACTTAAGGTTATTAAAGCTCCTCCTAAACCGTTTTGATTTGGTCTCGTGCCAGTTCATGTGCGGTACAGTGTGTGCATGTTTTCTGAAAGTTTGTATATGTAACAAACTATTGTTTATTTACTATATGAATCATGCTTTTGTGTGTCTGCACAAACCCCATTTAACCCCATAATGTCTCACTTGGCCGTTTCCCGTAATTAGGTAGCTTTGTAAGTAGCTTTATAAACAACAACTGTCCAAATAGAATGAAAGATAAATACTTCTGAAAGCTCTTCTGAACGCCATGCAATATATTCACATTTGACATAAATTGATTGAAAAGGCAGAACGAGACGCTGTGAATGATTTGCGAAAGCTCTGTGAATAATTTGACTTTCTCTGCACCAATAGCCCAGATCAAAACTCCAATTACATTGTTTGTGGAAACATTGTTGGCCCTGATTTTATTTATTGTGTTTGGTAACAAACCTTGCCAGTCTGTTTCGCAGGGTTTGTTTTTATCCTTCAGATGGGAACATGATGAATAAAACAAAGCGTAAGGAATTTTAACACATGTTGCTAACGGTTAAAAATAACAGAAAAATCTGTGTTCACTTATACAAACAATCAAAAACCACATTTCTCTCCTTGTTGATTTCAGAAGACAGATGCTGAAGTAAGACAACTTGAATAAAATGATAATAGTTTTAAAAGTTGTCAATAATGATGCAAGATATTGTGGATTTATACATTGGCTAACACTTTAGTTTAGGTCACAATTCACAGTATTAACAAACCATTAACACTCCTAGCTTAATAAACGGCTAATTAGCTGTTTATTAATAGTACGGTAGAAGTTGGGTTTAGGTTTTGGGTAGGATTAGGGATGCAGAATAATAATACTTCATAACTGCTAATGAACAGTTAATAACTTAATAATAGGCAGGTATAATAAGCCAGTAGTCAATAGCATGAGTTTTGACCTAAACTAAAGTGTTACCATAAATTGTATCTTTTTGATCAAACACTAAAAAGGCCAAGCTTTTTGTGTTATAAGGTAGAATAATGCGATATAGATGTTTTGGTAACACTTTAGTTAGTTTGCAGTAGTTATTGTCAGATAATGCATTTGCTAACATTACCAAACAAATAACATATTTATTATTTATAACGTTAGTTTATGAAAATATAGTTGTTCATTGTAATGCAGTGGTCACACTAGAGTTTGTGCATGCAAAATTCTGTTGTATGGTGCTGTGAAAAGGGATGGGGTTAAACAAGATGATTAGACATTACAAAAAAATGAGCGAATGATCCATATTTTACATTTCTGAACAGAGAGGTCATGTTTTGATCTGTGATTGGTCTCACGCAGTCACATGATGCAATTTCGCAAGTTAGAATTCACCAAGCTTGAACTTTGCAACGCTGCGAACTGCAAAACTTGTCGCACAAGATTGCCTTTCCGATCTGTGGCATTCGCTTGCATATAAATAGAAATAAAACTGGGCCGATAAATGATATATATCGAATCGCAATATAATTTTTGTCAATAAAATTGATAAGCTCTGGACTTTTATACTTTGTATTGGTCTTTAAGCCAATCAAACAGCACAAATGTGCAACAATAAGAATCAAAAGTGTGTCAAAAACTCTAATTTTTGTGGCTTCAGTCTTTGTTGGGATACTTTTTTAAATCTGGAAGCATAAACAACTTATATCGAAATATATACCGTTATTGTTCAATATGGAAAATAATTATCAAGATTGCAGTTTTGCCATATTGCCCAGCCCTAAATGGAAATCTATGGGGCGAAAAGTGCAGTGTGACCACAGCCTTAGGTTGTTAACTTACTGTGCATTAACTTATATTAACAAGCATGAATTTGGATGTTACCAACGCAGTAGTTAATGTCGAACTATAATTAATAAATGCTGTATTGTTCATAATTCGTTTATCTTAGTAAATACATTAACTAATGAAACCTATAAAGTGTGATATTTTAGACCTCCTAAATAAATACAGCTACACATCTATACGATTGAGCAACCTCTTTATGTGCTTAACAGCAAGTAAAGGACTTACAGTATAAGTGACTGCGTACTGCTTGTGTGTCTGGATTTTTAGTCTACAACTTTATGAATCACCATCTTCAGAGGGAAAGTACAAACTCAGGAAAAAAAAAACTTTTAAGTTTATCCACAGAAACCTCCAAATGCGTAATGTAATCACAGGCCAGCTGTGTGCACTTGTAAAGTTGTTATAATCCCTCTCGGTCCTATAAACAGGAAAATACATAATATAAAGCATCATGCGTGCATCCACAAATAATACAGTTTATCCTAATGGCCTGCCAAGTTTTCCTTTTTTGGATATCAGTGGTCTTTTATCTATTGTTAGCAAACTGATAAGATTTTTATGTGATACAGTAAGGAAAAGATACTCTATAAAAAAAAAAAAGATAAAATAATTTAGTGATCATTTTGCAAGTCATTACATCATTATTTTATTTAGTCTTTAAATTCTATAATACTACTGTTTTAAGTTTGGCAGTTTGTTATTGTAAAAAACACTTTAAAGCACATGTGAACACCAATCCATAATAACAGGATTTTGTTTTTTCTGTATTTTATAATCTGCACTGTACTGCATTGTATTTTAGGGTTGACAGAAAGGTCTGAGTGACAGACCACAGGATGTCTTAAAGTTCAAAATTAAAGAAGAGCACGTGATCAGCAGAAGTCACAATACCATGCAATAGAATTAAAATAAAACATAAAATGGGCAACATGGTGGTGCAGTGGGTAGCACAATCACCTCACAGCAAGAAGGTCGCTGGTTCGAGCCCCGGCTGGGTCAGTTGGTATTTCTGTGTGGAGTTGGCGTTGGTTTCCTCCGGGTGCTCCGGCCCACAAGACCAAAAACATGTGGTATAGGTGAATTTGGTAGGCTAAATTGTCCGTATGTATGAGTGTGAATGAGTGTGTATGGGTGTTTCCCAGTGATGTGTTGCAGCTGGAAGGGCATCTGCTGTGTAAAACATATGTTGGATAAGTTGGCAGTTCATTCCACAGATTAGTAAAGGGACTAAGCCGAAAATGAGTTATTGAATGAATAAAACATAAAATACTAATAAAAATAACTTTTTAATAAAAGATAAATAATAAGATAAATACCAATTATGATTTGTTCAGGGAATTCTAGAATTAGCCTACCATTTTACCTTATTATTTAAATTTTGTTTTGTTATTATTTATTGAAATTCAATGTCTTATTTTTACTAACACTAACACTTTAGATTTTTTTCCATAGCATTTTTTTCTTCTTTTATTTTTCCTAATTGGTTTGTTCATTATTTTGTAAAATTTATATTAATGGATTCAGCAAAATCAATGAATAATAAGAGACAAAAAATGTGCTGATTTATGCAGGAAGGTTTATGGATACTGTTTTCCTCATTAGTCTTGTGCTACTTATTTTTAATCAAGGCAATTCTTATTTTACTTATAATAATAATAAACTTTCTCTAAAAGTGCAAGTTTCTTTCTTAAATGCACATTGTATATGTACATTATTAGATCTTTCAGATATTTTACAAAACTTATTAAAATAGTTTTAGCCTATGTATTGTCTTTAATATTTGACAATATAAAACAATGTTTAATAAAGCATTGTATTTTAATTAATATTGCAAATGGTGAAGTGCATATTTATACATTTTAATTATCTTTTATGATTCCAGTCAGATTGTCACTTTTAAACTGTCAATTTTAAATAAAAATTGCAATAAGTTGCATATTTATCGTGTAGTCAAACAATATCATTCACTGTGGTTAACGTTGTAACAGATTAATCTAAAACAAAAATATTAAACTAGTGTAAATGTATTTAGCAAATACGTGAATGTCACTTAAGGCATCCACTCTCTGAATTGCAACGAAATGAAGCTGTTTTCCTTTACATAGCCTGCTTTGTTTTCTTTTCTTGCAACCCAAAGCAACTCCCAGAAAGAACTCTGTCATGTTTGCTTGTTCTCTCTGTGCGAGCAACTTTCAGCGTTAAGGGTGGACGTGATATTTCAAACATCAGATCAGTGCGTTTATGTATTGGGTGCCCGGAAATTTTTCCAAATAAACACAGCTTGATTCAACTTGGGTGGGCAGACTTATCAACAGACTAATTCTATAAACAAATGAAGGAATAACCGAGCACACCATTGGCTGGTAGGGCAGGGGACACGCGGAGGGAGAGAGAGACTCGAGGCTTTCGGCAATGAAATTTTAATTAATGTGGGTGGGCTGAGGGAACACAACGAGTGTTTATCATAGACAATTTATTTTCCAGCGCTAAGTCAACATAAAACAGCAAAACGGACAACAATTATTTAACATTTCGGACTCATGAAGCGGACACACCGGTGGCGATCTCCCCAGACTGAATCTGTCCTCCGAAGTCATGAGTTTATACCACAGCCCCGTGCCGCAGTCCGGCGTGGCTGCCTCGGCTCTCGGCCTGTCCGGTTCCTCCCTCATCTATGTGTACGGTGGCGAAGTTGGAGGCATCATCCCCGCGCTGGGGTTCGCGTCTGGCCGGCAGGAGCCTCCACAAAAACCCCCGTACAGCTACATCGCGCTCATCGCCATGGCAATCAAGAACGCGCCGGACAAGCGCGCGACCCTCAGCGGGATCTATCAGTTCATCATGGACCGCTTCCCATATTATCACGACAACAAACAAGGTTGGCAGAACTCAATCCGCCATAACCTCTCGCTCAACGACTGTTTCATTAAAGTGCCCAGAGAGAAGGGGCGACCGGGCAAAGGCAGCTACTGGACGCTGGACACCAAATGCCTGGACATGTTTGAGAACGGAAACTACCGGCGGCGGAAGAGAAAGTGCCGGACTCAGGACACAGGTGACACCAAAGTCGGTCACAAGAGAACTCGGGTGACGAGCTTTAAACTCCATCAAGGTGCCCAATCAGAGAAAGTCTCTCCACTCAAGCAAAATCCTGGAAGAGATATTAAGGAGAAGTCGAACGACACCCAACCTCAAAACGAAGAGGAAAATGTAGCCTCAGAATCCGCCAAAGACTGGTGTTTGGCATCCTCGACCACGATTGTCTCCCTCCCGAGATGCACGACACCTGAACGGAGCAGCACGGTGGCTGTAAACACTCACACACCGCTTTCAAGCGCGAGCGAGACGCGTGTGCCCGTGAAGAGTGACACTGGACGCGCGCAATCTGGAGACGCCAAATCTAAAGAATCAAACCCAAGGAAAACAACAGACAAGGCAAAGGAGTTTAGCATTGACAGCATTCTGTCAAAAAAGGAGAACCAGTTCCAGCGGAGGTGCGCAGCTGCTGGAGGAGCCTCCGTGGATTCCCGCGGTTACGCGCTCGCGTCCTCGCTCATCGCACACGCGCACCCACAGCTGTACCCGCGCGGATTCCCGCTCTGCTCCTACCTGTCTCTCACCTGTCCTGACAAAATACTGAGCTTAACAGAGAAAACGGATGAGAAACTATTCTTTTGATGACTCCTTTGTACCAATAACTAGTTTTATTTCTGGAAAATGTCAGTGTTGGTAACATTCTGTCTTTAGCATATTTGTTTGTTTTTTTAACGGCTAATTACAAACGAAAGCATAACAAATATCAACCCTTATGAAAATGAACCACAAAAGAGAGCAACAAAAGAAGGGTTTAATCTACAGTATATTACCCATAATTTTCTAGACTAACCATACATTAATCACATGTTTGTAGTAAAATTGTGTTTTTACAAATGGTAATAAAAAGCATAGTTGCTACGCGTTTACTGTAACAATACGATGGTTAGATATCACAAGATAGTTTTTTCTTCTTCTATTATTGTTGTCCTTATGGAATTCAACATGGGTGGCCGCTCTGTAAACTGTAACAGTAGTTAATTATGATGATGTGTGCACTATGATCAAGAACACACTCATTGCAACCCATCCCGAACACAGATGTCTTTGTAAAATGCTAATGTTTATATGAAGAAGGGTTTTATGCATTCCTCATAGCGGCTACTTGAAAAATAGCTGTTGTTCCTGTCCTCTCCTACAACTTAAACTATAGATAGACAAAAACTCAAAGTTGATTTACTGCTTAAACATTCACCTGTGGGAAGAAAACAAACATTGATTTGTATTGTGGACGATCTGAGAACTCAATTTTTCAAATAAACGAGTGGAAGTGACACTTTGTTGACTTTAACTCAAACAAAACAGTGTATTTTAAATGAACAAATTATGGGATTTCTTTCTATTCATAGTCTATATATTTCAAGCACTTGTTGTCCACCACATGTATTTCTTGCCACCATATATAGCCATAAGTGGTTTTTGAGCTGAAAGGTCTAAGCCTCACTGAGTGCAAATCAGGAATGCTTGTGGAAATAAATAAGGAACTCACATCCACAAGCATTTCCTGTGTATAGGATTCTTTTGGTCAGACGTGTAAATAGAGCGTCATCCATCTGAAGGTTTGTAGAGAGAAAGAGACTACATCTCTCAATCTGCTGCCTCCATCTGTCCTCCTCTTCACAGATGGGCTCCTTAGATGGAGCAGTCGAGGGCTCTGCTGGATCACAGCCCTGCGTTTGCCATCCATGACCATAACGAAACACTGTCTGCTCCCTCCAAGGTGATCTTTAAGATTCTGCAAAGAATATTTGAATTTGTGGATAACATCATTTACAATATTGAGGAATTATGGATATTGCTTTTGAAAATTATTTTAACAGATACAGATTTAGTGAGTTAAATCAGAAAAAGGTGGTGTAAAATAGTTTAATAGCCATTTCTGATTTTTCTCCATAACATTTACACACTATATGTCAAATGCATAAACAAAATCTGTGTAATTGCATTCTTAATATTGTTAGATAATTGTGCCCTCACGTGTCATAATGTATTGTAATACTATATTATTCATTATTAATAATGTTTAAGAATAAATATTAACAACACTAATAACAATTGCCCCCCCCCCCCCCCAAAAAAAAAACTAAACCTAAAAAGTTAACTAACTACATATTAAAGCTAATCCAAACTATTAACAAAGTTATTATACTTAATATTAATAAAACTAATAGTACCTCAATTATTTTACAACATAAAAAAACTTTAAATACAAATAAAGAAATGGAAATCAAGCTAAATGAAAAATGTACAATTCAAAATATTAATGCAAACAGAAATATTGTTAACATTAGGACTATTAACGTAAAAATGGAAAATACAAAAACTAATTCAACCATGAATAACACAATTGAATAAAAATGTAATAAGAACCTATTCTGCTATGATACTATAACAATAATATTAACTTAAAATGTATACATTTAACTCAATAAATAAAACTTCACCCACAAAAAACAAACAATAAATATAAAATCTAGACACATTAAATAATATTAATATAACAAAAATGCTTAAATATCAGAATTAAATAGCATATATACATTTATTTTATATTAAGAAAATTATAAAAATCATTATATTATTAATATTCTGAATTAATAAAATTTACTAGAACTTCATCTTTGCTAAGCTGCTTTGACACAATCTACATTGCAAAAAGCGCTTTAGAAATAAAAATGAAAAACTACAATAGTGATACCACACAACATTCAACATACAAAATAAAAGTCTGTTTCATTTAAACATTTCAATTTAATTAATATATTATACTATATTATACTTCACTACAAAAACTAAAATTATTAATAAAAAATGAATATTAACAATTATTACCAATGCTAACCCCTCCCCTAAAAAATCTAAACCTAAAAATAATAATAGTACCTCAATTGTATTATAACATAATAGACTTTAAAAAATAGAAATTAAGCTTAATGAATAATGTACAATTCAAAATAATAATGCAAACATAAAAATACTAGAAATATAACTGAATTTACATGAAAATGTAAAATACAAAAAGGAAAAACTATTCAACCATAAATAAAATAATAACATGTAATAAAAATGAAATAAAATTATTCTACCACGATACCATAACAATAATATTGACTTAAACATTAATAAACTTATACTAATATAATAAAACTTGTATAAAAACACAAAACATAAATTTAAAATCTTTATAGACACAATAAAAATACTAATAAAATAACAAATAATGCATAAATATCAGAATTAAATTGCAAAAAGACAAAAATAATAACTAACAATTCAATTCAGAAAACAATAGTACTTCAGTGGAACAATAAAAAAAAACTATTTTACATAAAGAAAATGATAAAAATCATTCTAACTATTATTGATATTTTGAATGAATAAAATTTTTCTGAACTTCATCTTTTAAGCTGCTTTGACACAATCTACATTGTAAAAAACATACAACATACAAACATACAAAATTAAAGTCTGTTTCATTTATACATTTTTGATTTAATTACTATATTATACTGTATTAAACTTCACTACAAAAACTAAAACCAACTCCTCACCTTCTGCCCTTTCAAAAAACCTAAACCTAAAAATTTATCCAAAGTTATAATGCAAAATCTACATATTAAAGCTAATCTAAACTATTAACAAATAGTTATAATAATAATACCTCAGTTATAATATAATAGCTAAAAAATTAAGCTAAATGAATAATGTACAATTCAAAATAATAAAACAAACATAACAAATTACTAACAATATAATTAAAATAACATGAAAATGGAAAATACAAAAAAAGAAAAACTCATTCAACCATAAATAAAATAATAAAGTTGAATAAAAATTTAATATACACCAGCATTCCTTTTATTTTAGACCCACCCACAGATCAACAACCATGCTCTGCAAAAAATCACCAAAACACAACCAAAATAACCAGAATAAAATAACTAATAAAATGAACTAGAACTTCATCTTTGTTAAGCTTCTTTGATACAATCTACATTGTAAAAAGAGCAAGAAATAAAGATGAAAAACTACAATAGAGATTCTATGCAACAAACAAAATAAAAGTCTGTGTTTGATTTATACATTCTCAATTTAGTTTCTGCAAAGATCCAGTTATGGAATAAAGAAAATGCTGGATTCTGGCTCAACCAGTGTCTGTTTGATTATTTTGGTAACCACAAAAGCAGTCTCACAGAAGGCCAGTGTTTTCTCAACAGCATGAAGCTGATGGAGCACAGAGCTGGATGAGAATTTTAATGACAACATTCTCCGTTTGTGTTCTGTCCTTCTCAAGCATTATATTAAAATAAACACTGGAAGAGAGATTATCTTTCTAAGTGTTTAAACTGTAAAAAAAAAAAAATCACACCCAAGAGTGGATTGCTGCTTCTCTTTCATTTATTTTGACTGGAAATAGAGCACGGTTTCTGTGGCTGGAACCACAAGTGCTCTGCCGTGAGAGGAGCCAAATGAAGGTGCATTGAGTTTAAAGCAGAGGTCTACAGTTCCATAAAAGTTGCCTACTAAAAATACTGGCACATTTCTGTCACACAAACATATATTGTTTGGCTCACTGGAAGTCATTATTTGCTACTTTAGAAAATGACAGAAACCTGCATTAATTTTGATTCCGTTGATTCAGCCCATACTGCCTTAAGATTTTAAAATACCATTTTCTGAAACCAGTACCTTTAACAAAAAGATTAAAGTACATTTTTAATACTTTTTGTAAACATTATATAAGACAAAGTATTAAAGCGTTCTTATATAATAAACAAGGGTTTCATCTTACAGTAGTGCTAAATGTCCTGAAGAGATTTTAATGATAATATAAAATATAATTACAGTTATCGTAGTTACATGTTATGACATTTCAAGCTCATTCCTTGATGACAAAAGTAGCAATATTAAGTTTAAGGTCACACTTTACAACAATATTTTAATAATATTAGGTTAAAGTACTCATACTAACATGAAGTAAGAATGAACAATATGAGTACAGCATTTATAAATCATAGTTCTATATTTACCGATGCATCATTCAAATCCAAAGTTGTGCTTGATAACATTAGATAATGCACAGTGTTAACATAAACTAATAACAAGTTACTTTATTTCTATTGATTAAAGTAAACAAAGATGAATAAAGAATTTAATTGAGGTATTGTTCGTGTTAGTGAATACATTAATGGAACTTGTAGTAAGGAATGCAATATAAAATAGGACGATACATTCACCCTAAAGAATTATGATTTTCAGTTTGATACACTGATCACCCTTGATAGCTCTTGACAATAATAATACATCTGTTTGTAGTCTTTTATTTTTAGATTTAGTTTTGGCCATTTTGCCTTTATTGAGAGGACAGGACAGTATTTTAGACAAGAAACAAAGTGGGAGAGAGAGGGAAGGGTCAGGAAATGTTTCCAAGCAGGGATTCGAACCCGTGACACCCTGAAGTGCTACTGCACCATATGTCAGTGCACTAACCACTAGGCCAGGGCTATTCAATTAGTTTTTCATGGGGGCCGGTTCATGAAAAGCATCCCAAACGAAGGGCCAGAGAGACATGACTTGCTATATGAGTGATGACACAACTGAATATAAGAGCCCATATGCTGTATTTGTGCTTATAAAGACACCCACGTTGGCTTTTTCTACATTAAAATGTTAATATATTGTATTTTAAAACAACTGAATTGTCCAATTGACTTTTCTTTTTTTAAACAAACATTCAAATGTTGTATTTCGCACAACAAACGCAGTGCATTACTGAAGTAGGCTTCTTCTACATTCAGACACATTCATATGTTGTGTTTTGAACAGCATAACAATTAGTGATGCAACGATTATAGATTTTGGTTGTACGATTATATAGTCTGAAGAATAATCATGGTTTCACGGTTATCACGTCTAATGTATATTCAACCTTTATATTAGATAAGCTATTAAGATTAACTGTTGTTATCATCTGCGTTCATGCATACATAATCATTTTAATAATAGCTCGTCTAACATATCTTTTGTTTACATTGCACTGAAAGCCACACACAACTCTCACCGTGAGATGTTTTCTACTGCGTGCGCCTGGAAAGACACAAGCGGTTTGCTCCGCTTGTGCACGCATATTGTCATTTTTACATTAGAAATAACAATCTTGCAATCTTTTATCTTCCCCAACAACAATCCCTCTGGAGTCAGTCAGCAGCTAGTTATCCTATTCTAAGGTCATTAAATTGACCATCAACCCAAGTTCACAAGGTAATAGATGTTTATATCTACATCTCATATTGTTTTTCTTAAAGTCAATTTAAGATCAAGGATAAGACACGCATTTTCAATTGAAAACACACATTTTCAATTCTTCTGAAATAAATAAAGACAAAAGAGTGGCCTGACTCAGTGCCGGGGAAAGTTATTGTAATGCATTACAATATTGAGTTACTCCTCAAAAAAGTAACTAGTTGTGTTACTTAGTTATTATTTATGGAAAGTAATGTGTTATGGTACTTTTGAGTTACTTCTTGATGCTTTACATGCATCCAGATTAATGAAAGAGGAAAGCAATGTGTTTGCTACTTCTGTATTTGTGTCTTATTAGTTCAGTAAAATCAATCTCTATTGTAACTATCCCCTTTTCTTCCATGTGTTAAAAACTATAAGAATTCTTCCATCACTGAAATGTAAGGCTCTGCCATCTTGGTTTCTGTCTGTTTCCACGGGGAGCTCATTCTCTCATTAAGTGTGATTCGACATGATTACACTAATTTTAATTCAGCAAATTCTTAGTTATTACTAGTTAGTGAAGTAACTTGTTACATTAAAAAAGTAACTCCAATAGTATTACTTAATCTTCTAAAGGTATGCGTTACTTTACTTGCTATTTAGAAAAGTAATATTACGTAACTCACGTTACTTGTAATGCGTTACCCCCAACGCTGGTAATTATTGTCATTTAATAATAGCATCACAAATCAAGCTCGACAACATTTTTATATCGCAAATTAAATTGGGCACACCCAAGATTTGTTGTGGCCTCATCCAGCAAAATTTCTGGAGGCGCCACTGGTAGTTAAGGTAATAGTTGCAATATTTGACAGGATTTTTTGTTTTTGTTTTTAATGGATTTACTTATGTAGAATATAAACAGCAGACTAATGAAAAATGTTGTTCATGGTGCTCCAGGCTATCTTTGTGTAAAACCCAATGCCATGAATAAGGTAATTTCAGAACTTAATATAATTAATAAAAATATTAAATATAAAAGTTAATTAAAATATTTCAAGGTAAAATTTTACAATTTTGCACACTTAAAATATTAATGCAGTTAGTTGCTGGTACTTTATCAGGTTTAGGGTGTTCTTATGTGAACAGTTGTGTAATACCCATGCTTATAATGTTGTAAATGCATTTAAAGATAATAATAATAATGAATGTTTGAGTACAATTTTTTTTTAACTTGCCTCCTTAAGTATACAATAAGAGTATGCAGACATAAAGAAAGAGAAAGACACCAACTGACTGAAGATGACAAGCTTTATTTCAGTCAGATTCAGAATCAGCATCTGCCTTGTCTTTGTCCTTATAATCAAATCTTTGATTGCACCTCACGTCCAGCAGCTCCAGTGATCCTCAACAGCATGCGTTGTTTTCTGATGAGCATCACAGCACTGCATCGCACTGGTGTCATTAAGAAATCCTCACCAGTTTCCCTTTCAGTTTACCTCATCGGCTCCACTGACTTCCAGTGACCCTCACCAGCCCTCAGGTTCCTTTGGTGACCCTCACCAACGTCTGTGCCTTCTGGTGACCCTCACTGGCCCCCTTATTTACTGGTGCCCCTTACCATCCCTCAGTCTCTCACTGGCTGTGGAGACTTGCATTAAACATCACCAGCCCAAGAGGGTTCTTCACTCTCTTTCACTTCGCACCTTCCTTCGCCAAAATTGCAAAAATCGTCTTCTCAGACGCCCAAGTCGACCAAGTTTTGGTGGTTTTGAGCTTTAAAAAACAAACACATCACAAGCATGAATATGAATGACTAGCTTTCCACAATACACCAATATAAACCTATGTGTGTGCATTTGTGGGGGTTTATATGAGGTATGTAAGCAGTAACAGTCTGTAGTGTGTGTTTTTATTCAGTACCTTGTCTCTGTGAGAAGCACCTGCTGGACACACTTTTCAGGAGTGAAGTCCCCTCCCGTCTCAGACACACTGTCTCCCTCCTCAAACACACAAAGTAAAGCAAACCAAAATTATGATCTATCATCGTTTTTATCAGTTTACCACCATTCTGATTCAATTCAAAAACCCATCAGACACACAGATGGTATCATTTGAAAAAAAACACAAGTAAACTTACTGCTGTTTTGGTGGCAGATGCTTGAGGGTACATATTGGGCAGTAGATGTCTGAGGTTGTCCAGCATGTACTCTGTGAAGCTGATGCACATCTCTTCTTCCTCAAGCTTTGTGGGGCCTTGAGGAACACTACACACACACACACACACACACACACACACACACACACAAACATAACAAAAACTTATTACATGAATAAATGTACCAGACACACAACGGTCTATTATGACTGACAGCTCCATTTCACACAGACTTTAAGCGATGTTGTAACATACAGACACCATCAGCTAAATACAGATATACAAATACTTACTGAAAGATGATCGGCCCAAATTCTATGGACAGGTTGGTGGTGGTCATGCGGTTGAAATGACTCTCGGCAGCCACTCGGGACAGGAAGAACGTTAGAGAGCAGAGGATATTGTAATTTTCCTCTGGAATGGTATCCAGTATTTTCTTCACTGCCTTGTGACGTTTGCTAAGTCTGAACACTGCAAGATAAAATATTTCCAGAGTTCAACAATTTGATAAATCTATTTTGATGTGGAGCAAGCTCACAAAACCTTCACTTACTCTTGAACACTTCCCGCAGTTCAATCATGAATGGCTCTGGAATAAGACCACCAGGAAGAGTCCTGAGGAAATGTTTCAAGACGTAGGCTGAGGAATGAACATCCTCAATGTTCATCTTTGGGAAGCCTCCACGATCAAAACATTTCCTCAGTTCATACTGCCGCAATACTGTCCCACCAACCCTGAACAAGCCTATGGTACTAAGGCCTAAACACATATGTCACAAATACATTGTCAGATGCGTGACAAACACTTGGAAACACAGTCAAACATCAAGCCAGCACTCACCATGCTTCTCGAGGAAGCTCACCAGGTGTGTGAAGGCCAGAGGAAGCCCCTGTCTCATCCTTCCGGTCTTTCTCAGATGTGACAAGGGAACACCAAACACCTTGCTCGGTGCTTCCTCCTGCACAAGAAAGAGGGTTAAGAAAAAGAAACGAGAAAGTGAGTGCACATACAGCTGTCTAATGACTGTGAATTATTATAACTATGAGTGTACGTTCAAACATGAAATGTATTATATTTACACACACACACACACACACACACACACACACACATACACACACACACACATTAAATACTTTACTAAGAGTTAGCATTTGTTAATTACTAGTAGGCCTTATATTGTGTGAAAATTTATACTTACACACACGGATAAAACTCCCATTATTGGGGTTTTGCCGAGTTAACCAAATCCAAGGGGTGTCCAAAGCCGTCAGTCGAAGTCAGAAGAAAAGGGTCGTTACCGGGAAATCCAAAACCGTGTCCGAATGTGTCAAAGTGAAATCGCAAATCCAAAGCCGTAGTCGAAGTCCGAAAAAAGTGTCAAAACCGTGAATCAATAACCGTAAATCAATCAAGAAATCGCAAACTGCACAAAAACCACTAACCACAACCAACGCCAGAACACCCAACAAAGAATTCTAATAAAGTACGTGCATATAAATCTGCCGCAGCTCTCACGTCATTAGAACGCGTTCTATTTAGAATCCGAGGATCAGCTTCACGAAAATGTCCATCAGTAAATCTTTAATATGTGTGTATATCAACGTTAATAAACTGCACATACATGTCTCATAAACTGAAGCTCGTTTTGCAACGACGAAACGCGCTTCAACTTAAGATACACGTAACTTAATTTGTTCAGCCTTACAAACTGTTTAATTGCATTAAACACAGCTTACAAGGCTCACCAAATTATAAAACTAAACAGAGTAATAATTTTTTCAATACTTCATGCATAACAACATAATAATTAAAAGAATATTAATACAACGTTATTATCCGTTAAAACACAAATGTGTTTAGCACAATTTAAAGTAAATGGATTTTAGTGTATTATACTTAGGTATATTTTTGGGGTAAAAATATATAAAATAATAATTATAGCCTATTTAAACTTTTTTTTAAACTTCAGGCAATAAATATAATTTTGTAACAATTAATATTTTAAAGTTGTAAAACATTTAAGTTAAGTTATAAATATTTGAATATTATTAAGGTAAGCCACTTCATATAATTTCAGAAAGTGAAATACACTTTGACAGAAATGGTCCTGCCAAGTTTATCAAACCTTATTCACTGTCGATTTTTGTGGACAGTATCCGAACATTAGTTTTGTTTGTAGTTATTATTTTACACCCATACAATTTTTAAAATGTTAAAACTGTCAAGGCTAACGGTAACATAGGCGCGTTAGCCTTCTTAGCCAAGCATACTAAGCACACATTGAACATTACCAAAAATAGAGCGATCCATCAGATCCTGTAGGTCGTTAATGTTGCGTGAAGAAATCATGTTGTCAGATCATTTTGTCAGAGTAAAGTAACACAGTAATGGAACATTACTCGATTATAGCTCCAATCTCCTCACGAAACTTTCGCTCAGAGCTAATTAATTTACAACTGGCAATCTTAACGATACGCCCCGTGTGGCTAAAATCAAACTACAGTGCAATGCATTCTGGGTCCCATTGATTTCTATATGATTTTTGTATCACAACAGTGCAGTGTACAAAAGGCATTTTCTACAAAACATCCAAAGTCTTTCGGCTGTCCGCACCACTAGCTTATGGTGACTCACGCTCTGCGCCTCTGCAGCTCGCGCTGTATTAAACAGACGCACATAAGTTCATAACTATAGCGGCCGTTTTTCGACTGAACTAAATTTATTTTAGTTTCTTGGTCAAACTATTTTGAGGGCCGGAACAAACTCCCTCGGGAGCTGGATTCGGGCCGCCAATTGAATAGCCCTGCAATTGTCTATTGCGCTGACTAGTTTGTAACTAGTCGAATTGTAACGTTGAGATTATCGCATAAATGTAGACATCTGTCCCTCATTTAGTTGTGAAATTAGGTTTTATTTTGTTATTATTTTTATGTATTTACTTATTTTAAATAATTCTATGGGAGATGTTTAATATGTTTGTAAAATGTAAAATAAATCATAAAAAAATTATTTAAAAAAATATTTGTTTATTTTAACCTACAATGATCTATAATACATAAGTCAACAAAAATTTATTTGGTTCAAAGACCTTTACAAGCTTAAAAACAAACAAACAACCAAACAAAACAAATAAAATAAAGTGCACAGCATGGCTAGCACTGTCGCCTCACAGCAAGAAGGTTGCTGGTTTGAGCCCCGGCTGGGTCAGTTGGCATATCTGTGTGGAGTTTGCATGTTCTCCCCGTGTTCACATTTATTTTTTTTATTTTTTTTGACTGCTCTGGTTTCCCACAGTCCAAAGACATGCAATATAGGTGAACTGAATAAACTAAATTGGCTATAGTGTATGTGTGTGAATGAGTGTGTAAAATGGAATCCGCTGTGTAAAAAATATGCTGGATAAGTTGGCGGTTCATTCCGCTGTGGCGAAGGAAAATAAACTGAACCGAACTAAACTGAAGGAAAATGAATGAATGAATTATGTAAATCTTTTTGGGGGGCAAAAATATGCATAATACTTCCCCCATCAAGCTTTACAGTGGACATCCAGTTAGATGTCATTCAGTAACAATAATTCATAAATTAAAAAAAATTTGTGTCAGGCAAATTTTGCAAAAATAATTATTTAATGGCATGGATCACAGTGTAGCCCTACAATTTGAATATTTGTCCTTTTAATTCTCATAATTTATCATTATCCTTTAAACCACTAGATTTCACCCATTGGTCAGCAAAACATTTAATATGTTCACTTGGTTTTATATTTTTAGTAACTACATTTTCCATAAAAAAATATATTTATTGTGGTAAAAATATAAACATACATAAAATACACATACATAAGGAGCATTTGAATAAGAATGATCTTAAAATGAGCACTGATCTGACGAATAAACAATTTACTTTATTCAGTTGAAGTCAGAATTATTAGCCCTCCTGAATTATTCAGCCCCCTGTGTTTTTTTTCTCCAATTTTTGTTTAACGGGAAGGAGATTTTTTCAACACATTTCTAAACATAGTTTTAATAACTCATTTCTAATAACTGATTTATTTTATCTTTGCAATGATGAGAGTAAATAATATTTGACTATATTTTTCTGGCGGCGACGCAGTGGCGCAGTAGGTAGTGCTGTCGCATCACAGCAAGAAGGTCGCTGGTTCGAGCCTCGGCTGGGTCAGTTGGCGTTTCTGTGTGGAGTTTTGCATGTTCTCCCTGCGTTCGCATGGGTTTCCTCTGGGTGCTCCGGTTTCTCCCACAGTCCAAAGACATGCAGTACATTGAATTGTCCATAGTGAATGAATGTGTATGGATGTTTCCCAGAGATGGGTTGCAGCTGGAAGGGTATTCGCTGTGTAAACCATGTGCTGGATAAGTTGGCCGAAAATAAAATTAATGAATTAGTGCAGTTTAAAGGTTTAATTTGGTTAACTAGGCAAGTTAGGGTAATTAGGCAAATCATTTTATAATTATGGTTTTATCTATAGACAATCGGGAAAAAAATTGTCTAAGGGGGCTAAAAATATTGACATTAAAAAGGTTTTAAACAATATTATTCTTGCCAAAATAAAAATTTTGCCAAATAAGTCTTTTTCAAAAAGAAAAAAATATTCTAGAAAATACTGTGAAAAAAAATCCTTGCTCTGTTAAACATCATTTGAGAAATATAAAAAAGAAGAAAAAAAATAACAGAAGGGCTAATCATTTTGACTTCAACTGCATTCAGTCAGTCAGAGGCCCATGAAGCTCTGCTCAGACCTCAGATCTCCTCAAATGATTCTCCTGAATCCGTAATGTCGGACTGATCTGAGGTCAAATCCGGACTGAGAGAAAAGCAGCCGGCCCGCAGAAGCGTCATCACCCTTGTTTCATGTGCAATCACATCTCCAGGCAGCACTAAATCACAGCATTTCAAGCCTCCGGCATCAAAAGAGTTTTAATCTGTGTGTTTATTATATATTTTCACTCCCAGCGTAAACCAAACTCAGTTGTCCAAATATGCTCTCAGAGCTGAGGGAGAGTAGGGGCTCTGATGAAGACTGATGGTCTCTCTGGGAGAAACATTAGCTGCTAATCAACTTATGTTTCCTGCCGTTCCGTTAAGACATTGTTATTTGCATGCGAAGAGCGTAGGGACCATGTTTGCTTATGAAACATAGTAGCCAACGATGGACATGCAGAAAGTATTAAGGACACAATTAAGGATTAACACATTTTTGGATTTAATATGAAAAACAGACCTTTTTCCTACCCAATCTTGGCACCAGTGCACAGTTCATAGACAAACTGAATGTATGTAGCAAAGCTAAAGGGATAGTCCATTCAAAAATGAAAATTTGATGTTCATTTACTCATTCTATAGACCAGCAATGTTGGTCTGTAGAAGTTGGTTTTTGCACAGATTTCAGACTTGCAGTAGCCATGAAGATAAATGTTGTCTTGTCTGTTTTTGTTTTGTTTTGTCTTTTTTTTATTTTGTTTAGTCTGTTTTTGTTTTGTTTAATTTTGTCTGTTTTTGTTTTGTTTTGACTTTTTTTTCATTTCCTTATGTTTTGTCTGTTTTTGTTTTGTTTTTATTATGTTTAGTTTTGTTTGTTTTTGTTTGGTCTGCTTTTGTTTTGATTTGTTTCATTGTTTAGTTTTGTTTGCTTTTGTTTTGTTTAGTCTGTTTTTGTTTTGTTTTGACAGTTTTGTTTTGTTTTAATTTTGTTTTGTCTAGTTTTGTTTTGTTTCATTATGTTTAGTTTTGTTTGTTTTTGTTTTGTTTTGTCTGTTTTTGTTTAGTTTTGGACGGTTTTGTTTCGTTTATTTTTGTTTTGTCTGTTTTTGTTTTGTTTCATTGTGTTTAGTTTTGTTTGTTTTTGGTTTGTTTTGTCTGTTTTTGTTTTTGACGATTTGTTTTTGTTTTGTTTCATTTAGTTTCGATACAAGACAAGACTACATTTTTTAAAATAATGATTATAATTAATAAATCCTAGCTTTAATAATAATAACAATAATAATAATAAACAATGTGCTATATAAATAAAAATAAACAATAAAAATAATAAATAACAATAAAAAGAAGTAAATTAATTTTAATGATGATTAAAAATCATAAATACTAGTATTAATATCAATAAACAATGTGTTAAATAAATAATAATAATACTCTTGCATAATAAAAAACGATAAAAAGAAGTAAATTAATTTGAATAATGATTCAAAATAATAAATACTAGTATTATTAATAATAATAATAAACAATGTGTTATATAAATAATAATAATACATTTATATATATAAAAAAATACAAAGAACTAAATAAATATTAATAATGATTCAAAATAATATATAATATAACATGCATATTTCCCTCTGCTGACACCAACACCGCTCGTAAATAATCTTGACTTCAGGTAAAACAGACTTAACCTGTCATTCCATATTTTTAACACAAGCAATATTTTATAAGAATGTAAACATTTGACACTTATTGTAGCAATCTGAGGTTTATTTGACTTACTTTTATCCATTTAAAAATCAGAGATTCAGCAGAGCGGTGCCCAAAGCTGAAATATTCTCATATAGTCTCATGAGACGCGGCAGTTGATGCTAGAACAATCTTTTTATCAATCAAATTTCCAAATGACACGTGAAACACAAAGATGGACAGATGGTTGAGGCTCTCCAATCAAATGCACAACTTGCTCTTTGATCGGGAATGACGTCATGTAGTGTTCACCGATGATTGTGTGTTTACATATCTTTTCAAATGCCTGACTGAGAAGCTGTAATAGGAGG